TCCCTGTGTTGACCCCCAGTTCTTTTCTCATACGCGTGTAAACCAGTGACACGACAATCAAGATGCAACAACCACGTGTCCTACGTAAAATCGAAGTATGTTCCGCTAATTCTGTGATCGTTTTCGGCGGCTATCCCAAGGATATTGTAAGATGCAGTACGAAAAGACCTGGAAGATGGCGAAGAGGACAAGCTTCATCAGTGGAAATAAATTTCCATGAAAGTATGGTCCCAGTAACATCACGAGCAAATTTTCTGAAAAACGGCAAAAACAAATCCCGTTTGATCCAAAGGCTCATGAAACGTTTCAGGGCTGAGACCATGTCTGTATTTCAAGCAGAAGAGGTCACTGACACAATCAAATAGTTTCAAAGGCCTTGGAAACGGCAAAACAGGGCGAAATTGTTGTCATTGTAGGAAAATATATTGATCGTCTTGTCCTCTTTACAGCTCAGTCACGTAACGTCAAAAATGCTTTCCCTCTAAAATCCGGCAAAGGTGAGACTCTTTAAATACTTTTCAACAGAGGCAGCCTTCAAAATGAAGTGAAAGCCGAACACGTACTGTTCATTCATGCCATTAGTGGGTGTGACACAATATCACCACTCTTCAGACCAGCCAAAGTTAAGTTTTTAGCAACCCTGGAGAACCGCTCAGCCAACTCAGATGCTTAGAAAATCAGCCTTAAAGCAAGAAGAAATTTGTAAAGTAGGAAAATAATTTTTACTCAGATCGTTTGGCTACAAGGGTGAGTAGAAAAAAAAAATTGGCTGAATTTAGGTATGAAAGCTATGTACTGACTATTTTCTACGATGTACAAAATCTCGCTTGTCTTTCATCTTCAGAGGATGCTGCCACATTTCATGCTCCTATCCTCAAGTACATAGCAATGGATGATCAATTTTGGAAGGAAGGCCTTCATTGCAGTCTTATATGCGAGTATTGCCATGGCTCGTGCGAAAATAGTCAATATGACGCACTTTTAATGGAAGAAGAAGGGGATGACGTAGATGATCCAGAAGACGCTGAATGTTCGGACAATGACTATGACATGCAGTGAAAGGAAGAGATTGACGAGGATGGAACAAGAGGCAATGAGGCGAAGGGGGAACCATGACATGGTGTAAATGCATTATAAAATGTGAACATAGTGACTTTACGCATGACATCTGCTGCGGTAAATATCGAGAGTGGATAGGGTGGAAGTTCGTGCGACTAAAAATTTTGAAGCTCCTCATCTGATTTTTTAATAACTCCGAAATAATAAGAGAGGGTTTATTGGAACAACATCGTTTTCAACTCAAATTAAACTCCTCATACTGCTGATTGGATTACAGCGGTCGGCGCGCTTAAACTTAACGGACTCAAAATTTAGACCCACTATTATATTTTTGACAAGCTAGCAGTGCCTGTCTCTTTGGCTTGGTGGCAGCTATTGTTGTTATTAGCAATTATACCTATACGTAGGCACATCAAGTTTTTTTCCTCCGGAAAAGGTGCCTGTGGAGGACAGAAAAACTGATAACCGGGGAACGAAGGCCGACCGGGCGCACCCGGGCCATGAAAATGGGGGAGGAACGGAGGGCCCTGCAGCTGCGCTCATACCGGACCCCCCCTCCCCCCTCCTTATCCACTGCCGTTCTTGAAAGTCAAGAACTCAAAATTGCACTCCTTTTATAATTCATACTTACACTTATTACGATTTAATGATTAATTACCTTGAAAGCTCTCTTTTTGCAGGGAATGTTACGAAAATTGCTCAACCTCAATACTTGCCTGAAACTTTGCAACGCTGTAACGGCATTTGTTATCATCCGATCTTAATCATCTTGGACTTTTTTTAATGGAAATTTTATGTACTTTAATTTAGAAAATAACTACTTTTGCCGTAATTTCAATAATATACGAGTTATTTCGGTTTTTCGGCCGAAAAACGCAAATTTCGGCCATTTTTTCAAGATGGCGGCTTTGGCTCGCCTCAGATTTGTTCGCAAATGTGAAATTCGGATTCAGCGATGAAAAATACATAAGAATAGTATATCAGAAAGTTTCCTCAGAAATTGTCTCTACTTAGCCCCTATTTGTGCTCTATTGACTGGACTAATCTGACTTGATGTAAACCTGCACGGGCCGGACACCAGATTTTCTATCCTGTCCAACCTTTTGTCAGTACCTATGTGTCAGTCTGAGTCTGACGTCATACTGACTCAGCTTACCATCAGAATAACCACTGACCACTGACACCGACAACGGACAGGTGCTTTATTACTGGAATCCGCCAATAGACACCCTCGTAAGATTAAAAGAAGCCAACAACTATAACAACTCATTTGAAGACTCACAGAGTCTCAAACACCCAGCTCGCTGATGATAGGTCTCGTTTGGCTATAGGTGAGTTTTACCTACTTACGTATAAAATCCAGATTCCGGAACTGTCCACCTCTGAACACCTTTTAATGTCTCAGTATCCATGACTGCAACTTTGACACTGGTTTTGTTATACGCTTCAGAGCATCCAGAGGCTGTAGGACCAAACCGCCCCTTAGCACCGCATGATGAGAACACATAAACTAAAGGAAAAATTCAAAATAATTTAATCAGAATCAGATTACAAGCTATCAATTGAGATCATGATCATCTCATCTGTTCAAAAAGTGACAAAGCTGTATTTTTTATTTAAGTGAAAAATAGAATGTTATCTATAGAGTTCCTACCAGTTTTTAACGAACATTTTTTTTTTTAAACCAAAAAGAGGCCGTAACTATTTTTCAATGCGTTTCTAGGACAAAAGTAACTTGAAAAAATAAAAAAAGACGATACGTGATTATCTGGTTGTCTCACAATGGCTGCCATTATCATAGACACCTGACAAAGTCACACGATTCCTGCACCACAATTACCTAAATGCAGAATTGTGATATACGTGAGTTTACATACTTAGCAGGCTAGTTTAGGGTGTTTTTCCCATGTTTTCGTGTTGTAAATTACTTACTGTTTTAGCTAAGAGAGAAGAAGAATTTTGTCAAAGAACACGTTTTCAATTCACAAGAGACATCAAGGTGTGTCCGAAGGAAAAAAAGGAAATCAAATTGACTGTACAGATAATTATACAAGATCACTGCCTGGCAATAGGTGGACATTATTTAGCCCAAAAACCATTAAAAACTATGCGCAATATTTTGAAAAACGACAATGCTATGACAACCTTGTAGTTTTTGGTTACTGTACAACTTAATCTGACATTTTGATAGATCTTGTGAGGTAGAATTAGTATTGGAGATAATGAAATTAGTAGGTACTCACAAGTTTTGTTCACAAAATCATCATGTGTATTTTCAGTTTTCAACAATCCTGTAAGAAAGAGAGAGAAAAGGCTCGATGTATAAACTTGATTTTTACAGACCAACGTAATTATTTGCATTGTATTGTAGTGTAACTGTTACTTTAATGATACCTAATAGGAATCATTGGTATTTGCAACACATTAAAAATAATAGTACCTAATAAATTATTAGCAAGTTTTTATACAGCACTCTAAAGGTATGAAAACAAATCTTTTTTCTTAGCTTTGGCAGAAAAAGTATTGATTTATAACTTCGTTAAAATTCTTCACAAATACGACATTAAATGAAATACTGACTCCTCCTGCTTGTCGTCTGCTAAACATGGCAACTGTGCCACATTGTTTGTTACGTTACGGTAAAAACGATACTTGAAAATGGAATTTAAAAATGCTACACAACATGAAAAAGTGACCATTCTTCAGATATGATAGGTATACATTTGCCGTAATATTTTTCTAAACTTTGGAGACGTTCTTATACAATTGTTGTTCGGAAAGTCTGGCGCATTTTGAGTTTTCCTCCAACTATTGATGCCACGCAAAATGAAATTAGACCGTCGAATGCGTGATACTCTCACACTCAGCTTCAACTAGAGCTGTAAAGTTTATTAAATCTGAGGCAACAGGACGCACAGGAGATCAATTTTTCCGCTCCCTCATCTGCGCGTTTCCTGCTGCTTCCAAGCGCGCATAACTAAGGATCAGAGACGGATCCATTCAGCTAACTTTTTTCTTATAAGTAAACAATTGACGCTGATTACTACCTGATTTTTTTCCTGATCCAAAGGGTCGCCCAGACTTACCGTACCCAAGTAGCATGGATTGCAATTTCATTGCAATGGATTGTGAGTTGATTGCAATTTTTGCTTGTTGCCTATACGTTCATTTGAAGGCGCTTAAAAAGTTGCAATTTTATTGCAATAAGTTTGCAAGAAATGTAGATTATGCTTGTTTTTCAAGGCACTATAAAGACTGCAATTTCGGTGCAATCATGTTGTAACAAATTCACGCCATGTGCCTGGCATCCAATTCTCTAGTTGTTTTAAAGTTTTTTCGACTTAAATGTCTCACCTACCTAACCCATATATCCCAACATATTTTGAAAATATTGTCACCTTTATCAAAATATTTTCATGGCAATATTGTAAGTAAAATATTTTCAAAATATTTTTAAAACATTTTAAAGGAATATTTTGAAAATGTTTACAAAAAATATTTTTAAAATAATTCAAAAATATTGCCTGTAAACACGCATGTTAAAAATATTCCTTAAGAAAGTTTTGAAAATATTTTAAAAATATTTTTTGAAAATATTTTTAAGTTCTCAAGTTAGAATGTGGTATAATTTACACCGGTGTTAATTTAGTGTGAGTACCTATTATGTGATATCGAAAAAAAAAAATCAGACAAAAAAATATGAAAAAAATAAATAACACGAAAAAAAATAAATAATAGGCAAAAGAAAGAAGCCTGAGAAAAACGGCGTTAATCAAATCTATGATGAATGTTGAGCCACGCACTGACGCAATGCATGCGATAACAGCCTTAACAGGCGTGATTTCAACCAAGCTCATAATCAGCTCCCTGTAGCTCGGAAGAGTGCTCCGCTATGACATTCGCGGGTCGGGTTCAAGCCCACTCAAGGGCGTCCGGTATTTTATGCTGCTAAACGTCGTAGGACATTAGGTAAGCATGGGTTCGAATTATTATAATTTCCCCGGAAAATTTAGGGGTTGAAATTTAAAGGTCGTCAATATTGAAATTTCTTTGCAAAAAAAAAAAAATGCAACTTTTTTACAATGAGGGGGTCAGATGTTGTAAAATAATTGCAATTTTCTTGCAAGAAAGTTGAAATCATCTGGAAATTGTATTTCATTTAAATTGCAATTTTTTCGTTGCAAAATGCTACTTGGGTACCAGGGTTCTTTTATCGGTAAGTTTAGGTCGTGCGAGATCTGGGACCGCGGGATCGAATAGAGAATCAACCCTAAGGATTCCGAATTTCTTGGTCCGAGAGTCCCCCCGGCTCCCCTTGGAGGAGGGTAAAAGGGGGGTCCGTACTTCAAAAGTCAAGGTAAAGGCCAACATTTTGAAATTATTTAATCTGAATCAGAGAGTACGGAATTTTTTAACTTACATCGACACCAAGAAATCCAAGATCGCCCCATCTGTCTCCAAAATACTGACCCCTAAAGGTGGGGGTCAGAGTTCCCTTTCATAAAATGCAAGTTCGCGAAATTGACGTAGAGATTCGGGAAAAAGAAGTTTTCTGGGTGAATAGACCCCAAGGAATCCGAATTGGAGGGTCCCGTTGGACCAAGAATCTTCTCTGATGGGGCTCAGGGGAAATCCCCCCCCCCCCCCGTCAAATTAACAAATTCAGGGTCCCCCTTGAGCGACATTAGAGAAGACTCTCTGGACAACGAGACCCTCAATTTCAGATTCTTGGGGTCTTTTACCCATGAAAACTTCTTTTTTCCGGGTCTCTATAACATTGCATGTTTACAAAGGGGGCTCTGTCCCTATTTGACCTTTAGGGGTCAGTATTTTGGATTTCTTGGTGTCGATGTAACTTAAGAAATTCCGCACTCTCTGATTCAGATTTAAAAATTTCAAAGTTTTAACCTTTACCTTGACTTTTGAAGTACGGACCCCCCTTTTACCCTTCCCCAAGGGGAGCCGGGGGGACTCTCGGACCAAGAAATTCGGATTCCTTAGGGTTGATTCCCCATTCGATCCCGTGGTCCTGGACTATGTACGACCTAAAATAACCGAAAAAAATCCTGGTACGGTAGGTCTGGGCCACCCTGTATATGTATAGGGCACCGACTACATTATGTAACTTATTTTCCTGGTTACCTGTTAATGAATCTCTCTAGATCGATATGATCACTCTTTTTAAAAGCCACCCCAGTAGCGGGCCGCGAATTGAGCTTCTTCGAATAAAACATATGATACCTGAACCTACCTTTGCCCGTTATTTTTACAGCATTTTTTCAACAGTTTTAAAAACGCTTTGCTTAGCAATCCAAAATAGTTGGCGGAGTTTCTTAAATAAGGGTTTGGTAACTGCAAGATAATACCTACCCACCCACATGTCGTAGCTCAACTAACAACCAGGTACTTATACTTTTAGAAGAGGCTTTTTCTTGGAAAGTTCTGGACCATCTCTAAAGCCTGGACTTGGCTCTCCTAGATGATCATCTACATTCCCAAAATTGAATAAATCACTTGGTGCACTTGGCAAATGCAGACTGACGAAGAAGTGTAAGGGGTCATTAAATAAAAGGTTCAAAAACCAACCAGCATAGTTTTCCGAAGCAGAGATCCATGAGCTCATGACACCACTCAAGAAATGTTTGAAGCTTCAGGGTGATTGTGTGAAAAAGTAGGTAGGTATAACTTTTAAGAGCGAGGATCAATATCTGTTGCTTCTCTACAATACAATATTATTTTTACGTCGAGATTTATCAAAGTTATCGCGCGCTTGGGCCTGGACGTAGTGGGAAACACGCTGTCGGCGCCAGCGCAGGAAATTTGATCGCCTAGACGTTTTGCTGATTCAAATTTAAAACAAGCAGTGAACTCCACCACAATGTGTTGATAAGGCGCGTCATTAACTCGCATATATCAACCCCATTAGCTTTCATTTACAGAGATTTCAAAATGGGCAAGCAGCACAGAATTCACGATCCACACCGCGAGGTCAACGACGCACCTTGACGAGACCGTGTATAGGTATTGTGAATGTAGAAATGCCATTCGAACGAGTTTAAGTTTTTTGATCGGCCTCAAATAAAGTCTTATCAGATTCTTGAAGAAAAATGCTACGGAATAATTTAAGCGAAGAAAGGAAAAATTCTGTCGAACTCCTGAAAGATAAAGTCGATTTAAAGGTATGGGGCTAAAATACCCAAATCACCGGTAGTATAAATCCCGTTATATTCAAAAGAAATTAACTCGATATAAATGCAATTGCATTAAATATGTCTTGATTTCGTTATTTTAAACGTCTTTCAATGCAAATAAGTTCAACCATGTCCATGCTTTATTCATTCATGAATAATTGAAAGTAAGCAATCTACATTCCGAAAATCTACGGATTTGCCGTAAAAAATCGCAGAAACCTTATATACCAGGTCGACGTACCCACTCGTTAAATTTACAAATCAATTTCGTGAGTGCACATATGTAAAAGTCAATAGGTATGCTATAGTCATTTTAGGTGCATTTATTTTTCATGAAACAATAATAAGTAAATTCAATCCTGAAAAACCATCAATTTTCCGTATAAAATCGAAAAAATCAAAATATGTCGGCTTCCTGACATGAAAATTAGAATCTACATGTAAAATTACTTATGTATCGATATGTTGAACAGAAACCATTTGTGGACACAGTCAGAAATCCGCGGCAACATCAATTTATAACAGGAAAAGGACAAAAATTAGATTTTAGCCGCTTTGCCCGCCTCTCCTCGTAATTTACAAACCGTTCCTATACTCATCTCAAAATTTTTCTTAGAGAGCTTTGGGTTATTATCGGCTTCCATTTAAAACCCGGTTCGATGGCCGAATCGGCTGCCCAAAAAGCAAGCCATTTTTGAGAGGTTCTATGAGAAATGCGTGATATTATCTGCTCTCAGGAAATCACCTCATGGCTAAAATTGGTGGTATAAATATTTGAGCGCTTAAAATAATCGTATTTAAGAAAATAAGGCATTTAACTACGGAGTTAATTCTTTCTTAATAATATAACGGGATTTCTTACCGGTGATTTAGCTATTATAGCCCCAGAATACTTTTAAAGCGTCTTTATTTTCCGGAATCTCGACGGAATTTTTTTCTTCTTCTTGTTTCGGCTTAAACGACTCAAGAGACGCTGTAGTTAAAAAATATAAAGAATTTCCGATTTGGACACGTAAAAAATGTTTAACTCGTTCAGGCACACCGTGTATTGTATGGAGTACAGCTGCTATTCGACCCTTTTCTTCAGGTGAAAATTATTACAAGGAAGCCCCTTGCAAGAGTCGAATTTTTGAAAGTACCCCCAATTTTTTCTCCGTTATATAATTGAATTGCTTGTCAAATTCTGAGGTCAATTATATTTAATTATATAATTTATTCATTTCTTTTTTCCCCCTTCATTTTATTTTTTGTATCGAGATGTCGAGGTTTTGTTGATTTCTTCGGATTTCGAATACTGTAACTTCTCTTCTATTCGGCCGATTTTTATGAATGAGGCCTCTTTTCATTCGTGTTTTAACGGAGAGTAAGGAAAAAATTGCTGAATACACGCGAAACAATTTTTTTGGAAATTTGGATGAATCCTAGCGTGACGGTGAAATGGTTAATCAAGCTTAGGTAATAGGGCCGCAACCCGGGCTATTGTTTCTTCTCAAGACGCCGATGCAGTGGTTTGGAGCGTGGGGAAGGGGTACGTGGATTCCTGTATGAGCGCTGTTTAGCAAATGGTCTAATGAGTCTCGAGGCTCATCACAGATTGCACTTACGGCTGCCCTGGCTGGCCCTGGCTATCAGAGCAGTGGTACTAAATTTTGAAAAAGCATAACAGGGGTGTAGAAATCTGTCAAATCAACGTTTTGAACAAAACGAAGGAGTGAAATTCTCATTCGAAGAGTGCTGAACTCCTCAGCCATCCTCGAATTACTTCGTTTGCTTTTGCTTATAAATGCATATTTTAAATTAGCGCGGAGCAGTCTTAGGTTTTTTTTTTTTAAATAAAAAACCAAGTAACGTAGACTCTCGGCATTCATTGCACATAAACAAGAAAACCCCAGAATAACAAAAAAATTGTAATCATAATTACTGACGGTTTAGTAAACTTTTTACACGCTTTGGAAAACCGAAGACGTTCGCGCCGGTCACTTTCCGGTAAGGAACTAAGGGACTCGGTTATTGTATCGAGTAGGGGGTCAAGACGATCGCAAAGGCGATATACTACTTATACCAACGCGCCAAAACTATATATCCAAGTAGGTATAGCTGAAAGTATCACGCATTCAACAATTTAGTCGGATTTTTTCTAGCATCAATTGTTGCTGAGAAAATTTAAAACGTTCGGGACTTTCCGTACAACCTTCGTGCTTTCAGTTTAATCATATATCATTGAAGATTAACCATACGAAAGAAGCAGTGTTGCACTCTTCAAAAAGAAAATTTATTTTACACGAGTAGATGAATCTGACTTAAAGGTAAGAGTTTTCTCAAAAGGAATCTTAAAGAACGATTTGGTGACATTTTTTGGAACTTCTGGCTTAAGTAATCTGGTGAGAGATACAGTGCCCTGCATTGGCCCCTCCACTAGGCGTGAGCTAGAGGAAAAAATAACATGTTTTCTCTTCAAAATGTTACATGGAGAACAATTCACACCATAGGAAATCAACTCTGATGCGAGATATTAGAAAGTATTTAACACATCATTATCATCATTTATACTGAGCACTCTCATTCAAAACCAGTTTAAGAGGTTTCCATTATCTATGAATGCAGCACAGTTAGCATAATATTGAGCCAAGATATTATGATTTATAGTGCTAAGAACAGAAAATTCCTAAACAATACGGAAGTGTACCCAATGACTTGGAAAAAATTTCTTGAAAAAAATTCAAATTTGAAAATTAATACCTTTAATAGAGCCTGCTTTTTCATAGTTGTAGCCGTTCAGATCTTTCTCGGTAACTCCTAAAATAAAACAGAATAAATGTAACTGATTTTGAGCATACATTTCGAGGAAATAATTCTGCTACTTGCAAAGTAAACTTGAACCGTGGTACCTACAACAAATCTAGGACCAAAAATTAGCAGAAGATGAACCTATACATTTGGCTGGCCACAGAAACATCTCCTGAAATCTTTTCTTCAGATCGACATGAAATGTCTCTCTCAATGAGTCTGTTGCACACTAGAGATACATCCAAATAAAAACACTCTTTCATGGTACAAATGCACTAAATCCACGTTGGGCACGAAAAAAAAGTCTGAAATGCATTCCTTTGTGCCCAATCTGCGTAGTTTATGTGACACGTTTTTTAAAGTTTCCCGCGTTTGCGGGCAGGTTTTCTCAGTCATTGCCGACCAGGTTTGCAGACAAAGGGTCAGGAAAACCAATCTGATCGTGAGTAAACAAACGATTTCACTCACTTTATATGTATATTGTACCTATGATTTCAATCGTTTTCAAGAGTTTGTTTCCTTTTTTTATTATTTTTCAAAAACATAAAAGCTTTTAATCAATTGAAATCTTACGTAAGGAGAGTTTATGACAATCCGTGAGATTGTTTGATAGGTTTAGTTCCTTTCCGGGCAAACCTGACTGCCGGCCACCACGAGAAACTGCCCGCATGTGCGGAAAATTTGAACAGTTGAATTGTTACAAACCAGGCAGATTGTACGCTAAGGAGTGGATTACAGACTTTTTTGGTGTGTCCAACGTGCGATTCTCGAGTAAAATTACCCTTAAATATTTTATTCAATTGGCTGTGTCTTTTACGAAAAACAGACCCTTTTAAACGAAATTTTAGAGCGAGTAAAGGCTGCGCATATGTGAAAGTACTTACTAATTAAAAATCAAATATGATATTAGACTAGCACTGGATCCAGACTACTCTACAGGAATAGAAAATGCAAAAACCTTTGAAGAGTTTCAAAATGAAAATCTAGTTATGTTATATAAAATGAAACTAAGGGGGAGAGTTCAGCCTAGAGATGGTCTATTAGAACAGATTCGTTAGAGTCTAAACAAAATACCTAGTCTAAAAACCAGCTGCACTGGCGCCACTACTCCGGCACGCTTGAAACATTTTTAAAACAGTTATGGCCGCCCTCGTAACTGATTGGGCAACATCCTGTGTGATGCCTGTGGCCGTTGCGCCTGCGCCCCGCAAAAAACGCAGAAAATTTTGCTCTATCGACTTGTGCAGAAGAAATTTTAATTTGACTCCACTGTTGCCACGTTTTGGCCATTTTTTTAATTTTTGTAATTATTTAGAATCACGTTACCGCCTAATAGTGTGTTTGCAGTTGGTTGGGATTGAATCAAAACCTGTCGGTATTATTGTTCGTTTGATTCCGAGATATCGACATTGTATCGAGATCAAGATCAATGGATCTAGATCCCTTGCCAAAACTACTCATCAGACCGCTTGGGTGATTCAGTAGCTTTAAATTTCGATATCTCGTTATTGTCGGGCACCAGTGCCGTTGCAAGGAGATAGAAGAAACCATCGATTCGATAAATCGACAATTCCAACCACAGAGGAAGGCTGAACGTGATTTAATGAGTGATACATTTTTTTGTGATTGCGGCGGCGGTTTCCTTGAAAACTAGCAACCCCGCCTCTACGTGAATTCCAACGGAAATCAGGCAATGTTGTGAACATCATGTCGGAAATGGTCAGTTTAGGTTAAAAAATGTAACTGGACGTGATTAAATGAGTACTACTTTCAATTGTGATCGTAGCGGTGGTTTTCATTGAAAACCGGCAACACCACCGCTACTTGAATTCCTAAAAATCATGTGAAAATTTCAAAAAAGCGCAAAACATGTACTGACTTTTCGAATTTTGTTTGGTCTAGGCGTTTTGCTTTAACATGGAGTCGCGAAACGTACCTAAACGAGCATCAACATCGGGCGTCGGGCAATTTTCCGAATTTTCAAATCGCTATAACTCGTGTTCCCTAAGTCTCTCACAAAAGTATAACATATCAATGGATGCGGACTCAAACGAACAATAATACCAACAGGTTTTTATTCAATCCCGACCAACTGCAAACACACTATTAGGCGGTAACGTGATTTTAAATAATTACAAAAATTAAAAAAATGGCCAAAACGTGGCAACAGTGGAGTCAAATTAAAATTTCTTCTGTACAAGTCGATAGAACAAAATTTTCTGCGTTTTTTGGTATAAATGCGAGCTCTGTAACTGCATTTTTGCGAAAGTTATGGACTTTTGAAGGTTACGACTTTAAAAAAATGGCAACGCTGCTTCCCTGGGGTTCCTGCAAAAACGGAGCTAGGGATAAGCCTCTCTCAGCTAGTACTATCAGCCCACAAAGTTTCGTACATTCCGGGCTGGGTACATTTTTCGCCTATATGAATAACCCTCTTTTTAAAAACGAACAAATATACTTGTAATCTAAATATTCTAGTTATCCGTTCTAATCGAAGTTAAATCCCGGTTTTTCGGCCCCCTTCTCATAGCTCGGTTTAGATCAATCTGTAAGGTCTTCGGCTAGTGTTAGGTAGGCCCCAGGCTCAATCCCCGATGAAGGTAAAACAATTCTTCCCTTCGATAACTCTAACATGGACTCCCTATGATTCATTTAATTTTATTTTTCACGATTTCGAAAATTATTTCCTTAAATAATCCTTTGGGGTGCCTCCTTTCCCCCAACCACCCTGCCTAGGATTCTCCATGAGGCTGATTTCCATGAAGTTGGTTTCCATGCCATAGGCGCGTGAAAATGTTTCCGTCCCAATTTTCCATGCGGCTGATTTCCATGCAAATTTTGCATGGAACATTTTTTACCAGGGCCTTCAATATTCTAGCACTAATTTCCGAGTCATTTATACAGCGTCATCCGCATCCTGCGCGATCACCACCTGGTGATACAAACAGCAAAACAGAGTATAGTATACAATGTGTCTGTATCATTTAGAGGAACGCCCATGCCATTCTTTTTCCACTCTTTTAAAACATGTTCAAGAAAGATCTTAAAATAATGTAGGTGATAGACATGTTGTCATTGACTACATCTTCACCGAATGGAACGAAGAACTTGCAACCAATCCGGCGTCCGGTTCTTCCATTTAAATCGCCTATAACTGCCGATAACTTCCCTTGAGATTCCAAAATTTTAAGATTTCATCTTTCAGGAGCTCAAAGAACTGGTCTTTAGCTGCAACTGGCGCATCATTGTTGATACTGTACACTCCAAGGAGGGTTATCTTGTGACCATACACAGTAAGGTTAATTTTGACGATTCGTTGGTTGATTGATTCCCAAGAAGTTATACATTATTTACGCAAGTCGTTCCGAACCAAAATCGCCACTCCTTGCTGGGCCCGCTGATCTTTGCTTACGCCACTAAAGAACATATCATGGTATCTCAAACTTTTAGAGTCGTATCCTTTTTCCTTTGTTTCTGTAATTACTGCTATGTTAACGCTATTTTTTTATCTCCGAAACAACCTCCATCAGTTTCTTGGAAAAACCTTGGACATTCCTCCTCCCAAATAGGTACCATTGTCCTTTTGCGTAATTTTTGTTGAAGTATCCGTTTTGTCCGTTGTTCACTTAGGCATAAATAATTAGATCGTTTAACATTGGTTAGGTTTTACAGATATCGGGGAGTTAGCCCGATGACCCAACCCCCATCGAGGACCAGCGTTAGAATTCGGAGTGCGCTCCCGTATGTTGGCTGCCTTCTTTACGGCTAGGAACCCAAATTGTCCCTTCTTGGGTGCCTCATACGCCTTGAAGTCGGTGACCATCTCCAAAGCCCCTTTGAGGCAGGGGTTACCGGCTGGGGTCTGCAAGATTGCTGACCCCGTAATAATACAGTCCCCCATACGGTAATAAAAATACATCTTAAAAATGTCTCCTATGTGTGATACATTACTTCTTATGTATTTCATACTGCTGTAGAAGGGTTCGGTGCTGTAACAAATTTTGGAGGCCATTTTCGGGCTTTTCAGCTCAAATTACTTGAGAATCGATGTATCACACATGAGGAAAATTTGTTGCATTTCCCTGGAAGTGGGAGCAGTTCGGAAAAACTTTTGGCCCGGAAAAATCGGACCTTTACGAACTGGAGGGAGGGGGGGTGGAGTTGTCAGAGATTTGTGAAGGTCAAATTCGAGTTCAGAGGCTCTTAATACAGTAGGAGAGATCGAAAGAAAATCTGGGAAAATTTCTAAAACTCCTTACAACAGGAAATTCATCGGAGAATACATTAAAAGAACGTTTTCCGCGGAAAATCGACTGTTCCGGAAACATTATGGGTGATAAGAAAATCTGAGATCATACTTGGATTCAGCAGTTCGAAACAAATGAGAATTAATGTATCACACATTGGAGACATTTTTAAAATGTATTTTTAATACAATTTGGGTCCGCGACTGCTTTTACGCAATTTTAGACTCGGAAAAATCAGCTTTACAGGAAAACTGGAGGGTGATAAAAAACAAAAAGGTCATAATAGGATTCAGTAGCTCAAGATACATAAGAATCATCCTACCTCGGGTCCAGGAGAATTTATAAAAATAAATTGCATGCATGACAAATATTCGTCAAGTTTGCTCATTTTCCCGAGAAAAAGTCGCTTTTCCGAAAAATTTAGAGGTGAACGGGAAAATTAAAGGCCACTTTTGGACTCAACAGCTCAGAACACATCGAAAAGGTCACACCGTTGCTGAGAAACATTTTTGCTACATTCTGCAGGAAATTACGGTAGGAAAAACACAAAGAATGGAAATTTTTCGGTGTAAAACCGGCTTTTCCGGAAAATTGGAGGGTCATGGAAGAAATGGAAGTCATATTCGGATTCAGCGCCTCAAAATACGTTAGGATCACCTTATCTCATCCAAGAGGCATTTTTTTTTCATTTTTTTCCCTGTTGAACAATGATATCCACTTCCCGCATTAAGTTACCATTTTGAAGGCTGCCATTTTGTGAAG